TCTAACGATGGTGGATTTGTATAAGTCATTTGTAAAATGCAAATTTTGTGTTTTTACTAAAGTGTGATTCCTGTAGTTTTTATTTATTTACTTATTTATTTTCCAAATCTATTATCTTCATTTCTAAATTTTTAGTGTATATAAGTTTGTGTAATTGGACATTTATCCATTTTAATTATACCTTCTGAATTCTAACGATGGAGGATTTGTATAAGTCATTTGTAAAATGCAAATTTTGTGTTTTTACTAAAGTGTGATTCTTGTAGTTTTTATTTTATTTACTTATTTATTTTCCAAATCTATTATCTTCATTTCTAAATTTTTAGTGTATATAAGTTTGTGTTATTGGACATTTATCCATTTTAATTATAGCTTCTGCATAACTTGTGCTTTGTTTATTGTAATATTGATCTATTTAATTATGCAGGCTTTGTTCGTGTATATGAATTCATTATGTTTGCAAACTATCTTTTATATTTGTCTTATGTACTTGATGCTTATTTAGTCCTTTGTTACTTTCTTATATAACTTTGAATATTTTCAAGAATATCTATTTGTTTTATTGATGTTCCTTTTTCGATATTTTGCCTTTATCGATGCACCTTAAGATCACCTTCCTGTGAATTGTGGAAGCGTGTCGAGTCATTGTTGTGCTAGAATACTGTAAAGGTTCTTAGGGTTTCTTATGGCCTTTCTTCACCTTCTAAAATGATTGCATCAACTTTTATCAAACATTATTCCTATTAGAATCTAAGCTTGCCATTTTTATGTTCTTGATTTTGTTTTTCATGGGATAAATTATTATTCTTATGAGAAATTGAATATTGGCATCTTATGCTTTTGGTTTGGTTTTTCAAGAGATAATTTGTGTGAACTTAGTAATTTGCTGCATATGGAAGGTGAAGGACACTATGTTTTCTTGTTTTCTCATCTAAAGTATAACGAAAGATAACTTGATTTTATTTTCCATAATGTTTATCGGTTACTATTACTTCTGATACTAGTATCATTAATTTAGAGTTAAAGAGTTTTGTTTAGGGTTTAGGGTTTAGTGTTTTTGAATCCATACGGTCCAACCAAAAATTAAGGATCGATAGATTTCGTACTTGTGTTGCAATATTACTGGGCTATCCTTACCGGCTGGTTAGTGACTCTTGCCGCCACCACCTACAAACATATCCATGAGCCATCAATAAATAAATAAAAATATAAAAAGTAAGGCATATATATTACACATATATATTACACACTCTTCAACAAGAGTAATAATGTCGTAACAATTTCAAAATGGAAGTTAGCAATTTTAAAAAACTAAAAAAAATGTCAAAACAGAAAGACATTATCTCAAGTTTCAAATTTCTGTTCATAAACATGGTTTACTTGCTCGTAAATTTATAATGGCCCTTAACTACCATTAAGAAAGGGTTATAGCTCGCTAAAATTCAACCATGATTGAGTATTATTATTTATCAAATATCTAACATTATCACCTATGCAATTTGAACCATCCCAAAGTTACACTTCCATCTTTACCATTTACACTTTGAAATTTACCTGGCGCATTTAATGCACCACTGCTTATGATTAATGCACCTTCATACCTAAATAATGTCCATGTTTTTGCATGATAAATCTCCCAAGGATTCCTCACCCAACAAATGCACAACAAGGAACAGAAATTCATCATCTTAATGTTCATGTTTTTGCATGATATATCTCCCAAGGACTCCTCACCCAGCAAATGCACAACTTGGAACATAAATTCATCTTCTTACTACGTGTTCAGAAGCATAAGAAACTTTCAAGCAAGAAAGTTGGCTTAATACAATAACAGCATTGGACCAGAGAGTCATCTATCCTTCCAAATACATTGGGTAACAATGCTCAGACCCAATGAGCCAAGAAAAGCATAAATATAAGTAGCATTAGGAATGAACAATATAATTTCGACAAGATACTATCCAGTGACATGATAGCAACCATTCAATATGTAAAAAGTGGTTTCTGGCAAACCTTTAAATACAAACGAATTGGGACAGTTATCGAGATAATTATGAAAACTAAAAAGCTACGTATTGAGAGTCAAGATACAAGGGAAACAATGTAAAAATAATGGAAAGAAGCCAACTAGCAGAGGATCAAGATAATATACATGTCAATTTATAGCCAAAGCAAGTGGCTAGTCAAAGTGTTATAATGCCTCAAAAATTCTGTTCATGAAAGAACAATTCTTTTCATACATCTAATTGGTTCATCACTCTTACCACATTCCAGTATCAATGAAAACTGCACCACTAGTTATCAAAACCGATTTTTCAGAAAGCACCAAAAACCAAAATTCTAAAATTCAAACAAATTTCAATGAGATTATTATAAAATAGGATGTACGCTCATATTCTGAATTCAAAATGATGTGCATTGAGTTGTATATTTTCAAAACCACCAAGCTTCCAAAGAAATCTAGTACAAAAAAGTTATCACTGCCATTAAAAACAATGAAAAGAACCTCATAGAAATCTAGTACAAAAAAGTTAAGGCCAGTACCAGTAAAAGGATAAGAAAAAATAAATAGTAAAATCCAATCTTTGGCTGGACCGTATGCATTCAAAAACACCAAATCCATATCGAAACCATAAGGATGGATACATTTCGTACTTGTGTTGCAATATTAATATTACTGGGCTATCCTATCCTTACCAGCGGGTAAGTGACTCTTGCAGCCACCACCTACAAACATACCAATGAGCCATCAATAAATATATAAAAATATTAAAAATAAGGCACATATATCACACAGCCTTCAACAAGAGTAAGAATGTCATAAAAAAGTCAAAATGGAAGTTAACAATTTTAAAAAACTAAAAAAAGAATGTCAAAACACAGACATTATCTCAAAGTTCAAATTTCTGTTCATAAACGTGGTTTATTTGCTGATAAATTCATAGTGGCCATTAACTACCATTCAGAACCACCACACAATGTAACATTACTGAAATTGTAATTTCACCATCCAGGGTTACAGCTCACTAAAATTCAACCATGATTGAGTATTATTATTTACCAAATATCCAACATTATCACCCATGCAATTTGAACCATCCCAAAGTTTCACTTCCATCATTACCACTGCTTACACTCTTAAAACTTTACCTGGCCCATTTAAGGCACCACTGCTTACAATCAAATAATTAATGCACCTTCATACCTAAATAATGTCCATGTTTTTGCATGATAAATCTCTCAAAGACTCCTCACCCAACAAATGCACAACACGGAACAGAAATTCATCATCTTTCTACGTGTTTAGAAGCATAAGAAAGTTTCAAGCAAGAAAGTTGGCTTCATACAATAACAGCATTGGATTAGAGAGTCATCTATCCTTCCAAATACATTGAGCAACAATGCTCATGTAAAAAGTGGTTTCTGGTAAACCTTTAAATACAAACCAATACAACAAAGCTGGAAAGCGCAATGTAACCGTTATCGAGATAGTGATGAAAACTAAAAAGCTATGTATTGAGAGTCAAGATACAAGGAAAACAATCTTTTACAAGGGAGGCAATAAATGTAAAAATAATGGATAATATACATGTCAATTTATAGCCAAAGGAAGTGGCTAGTCAGAGTATTATAATGCCTCAAAAGTTCAGTTCATGAAAGAACAATTCTTTTCATACATCTAATTGGTTCATCACTCTTGCCACATTCCAGCATCATTGAAAGCTGTACCACTAGTTATCAAAACTGATTTTTCAGAAAGCACCAAAAACCAAAATTCTAAAATTCAAACAAATTTCAATGAGATTATTATAAAATACGATGTACGCTCATATTCTGAATTCAAAAAGATGTGCATTGAGTTGTATATTTTCAAAACAACCAAGCTTCCAAAGAAAGCTACTAGTATCAAGGAACCACACAATCATTCATGGTTTAAACCATCACAAGCATCACATGACACAATAGTCTTAATAAAAGTAAAATGCACCCACCAAGGAGAGGGGGAGAGAGAGAGAGGACACCAAGAGAAGGGCAAACAAGTATCATACAATACCTTTGATGACAATTACATCAACAAAAGGCATTATAACTCAAGATGGGCCAAGCCCACCTCAAAATCTACCAGTAAGGCAGTATGACAAAAAAATAGCCCGAGCACCTAAGCTCAGACGTGTACTTTGAATACCCCACTCCTTAGAGGATAACCCTGCGACAATTAAGGTTATCATAGTCATCACTAATCAATGCAGCCTAAGCCTGTCTCATGGTCTACAGCGTAAGCTATGCAGGCCACACCAAGTTGTCCGATGGCCCAAGCCCAAACAGGCACTTTGCACGCTCCTAATCATGGAAGGAAAGCCCTACTTATAATTGAAATCACAAACCAAGACAAATCATACTAAATAGAAAAGTTAGAAGTTAAGTAAACCACAAGAAGTCAAACCAAGACAGATCACACTAACTAGAAAGGTTAGAAGTTAAGTACACCACAAGAAGTCACTCGAGGCCTAAAACCCCAACAAGCGCTTTGCATGACCTAAATCGTGGGATGAAATCTTGCCACAAGTAGGGGCATGACCTATTAAAATAATTTTTTAAATAAAAAGTAATGATCTTTTTGATAAATACACCCATCACAACCCCTTCTAAC